CCAGAAACACCGCCTAACTTTGTCTTAAGTGACCGTAGCCTTTTGCGCTGTTAGTACTGCACTATTTACGCTCACTTACTCATAGTAGTAGTAGATTTGAGGACCGCGAGTACCGTATTTCTAATACTGCAACTACTGTTTATACTGCTGCTTCTAGCGATGCATCTTAGTGATTGTAGTGCTGGCATTTTTACTGACGCTAATATTTCGTCAGAAATGACACTGATTGGAGTCAGGTCTGGACCCGTGTGCCCTTGATCTTACATAGGAAAGGGGGCCTGGATTTTCGCTATGTTCAGCAGAATAGATGTTTGAGGATCTCAGCACATCAATGTTTGTCCTGTTTGTTTTCCTAAAGCGTGGACTGCGAGGGCTTGTATACTACTGTTTGCAGTGCTGCGTCTATGCTAGAAGTCCTAGTTAAGGTAATCATACTTGCTGAAGCCAGTGAGTAGCAAGCTATAGTGCGGCATGAAGTAATCGTGCTTACTACGGTCAGTAGTTGTATATAATAGTACGACCTGTGTGAGTTTTTTAAGAGGTCGGCTCCCAGTATGCACATCTAATCTTTATGAGGTAAAGTGATTATCTTATGGGCTGAATAAAGCATTTTAAAATTATAGTACAAGCCCTACCATGCCTTAATGTGGTAACGTTTGCAACATCTACTCTTATCCCCTCGATCCCAGCAGGGAGTGTGAATCTGGGTGTATACTATTCCCAGTAACTACATATTTAGGGCCCGGTGCTCATCAGAGTTTTCTTTGATTTCTGCATTCTCAACTCTATCCATCAGACTGTCATCTTATTTGTTGCTGAAATCTTATTAATAATGGCCCAAGTTATACCATGTCTTTATTTGGCATGGTGCGATTTGGCGTTAACAGGCTATCCTTTTGCTGTATCTATCTCTATCTTGAGGTTAAGGAGAGATCTCCTGTTTAATAGCTGGGTGGCGCAATCTGCTCCATAATCAACTTATATTGCTACATCCTATAACCGTATCAGTAGCTGAGTAATAAGCAATAAGCATTACAGATGTGCTCACTATAGTGCGCGTACACCAATCAATGGCCAGGGCTCGTCAGCTCGTAATGGGTAAGAAACAGTGATGAAAAAAGCGGGGAGGGTAGGACAATTATAGAGTTAAAAATTGATTGACCTTCAGTGATGTCAACGTTCATCAGCACGTCAGCAACGAAAATGGGGACAATTATCAGATATGTGGGCCAATTAACTTTGATGGCCATGTGGGCATGACTGTATTTGATTGGGAAATTCTCTGCACGTTTTTAGGTGACTTGCATAAAACTCATAAATAAAGATATCGTCTACTTCAAATATTTCTGTCAAGAAACAATAAATGGCGAATATTATTCTTCTACTGCTCCTTTCGCGTTGAAAATTTAACTTTTGGTCGCAATCTAATCATATTATTGAGTAGGTTTCCGCGTCTTCTGGATTATTGATACTCTCACAAGCTTTCCATGTTAATGTTTCATGAACTTTCTCAATGTCATCAGTGGGTGTACCGATAGGATTCCGTATTGCTATCCTTTTTATCTGTCTGCAGAGATGTCTGGTTAAACTACAAACGTATTACGAATTACTATGTATGAATATAATTTGCTTTTTGCATATAAAGTCAGGCGTAATACCTTAGTCTTTGTGGATTGTGTGCTCCATTCTGCTCTAAGAGTTTTATAATAAGGATTGCCGTGAGAACGCATGTGCATTTCTTCACTACTGCTTACTCTTTTACACTATATTACGTCTACTGTCCTCTAATAAAAGGTCCGCAAGTGGCTCTCCCGTCTGGGCTGTTTCCTTGTTTGGGGACTATTTCAATGCCCGCACTCAATTCGTCCAATGCTGCAAACGCAAATCAACGTCCTTCTAGGGTTTATTTTATCCTTCCACCTGTTCACCCTCCACACTGACCACCTACGATAGCAGAGCGAAAATATGCTGACAAAAGGTTTTTTGGTCATCCTATCAAAAGTCAGACAAATGTCCGGGTTCTAAAAGACGGCTTGGACTACGTCTTAGCATGGTCTTTAGCCAGTAGTCTTCTAATAAGCAATCAGAAGTCAGTCCAATGCGTTTTCCCATTGCACACCTCTCGCAGTCTTGAATTCTTACATATCTTGCCCGATAAGTTATCCTCCTTCCAGGACATCGATGTTGCTCTGACATCTAATCTTTAATTAACTCTTCATGTTGAAAGCCTTTTCATTTCAATCTTTAAACTTCTATACTATATCCATCGGTTACCTTTATAGTACACATCTCAAACCCTAGACTGGCTATGTATAGATGTCTGCATTCTCCCCATCAATATCCATTCTTCTCCAGTTATATTTCCAGCCCTGCTTAAAAAGACCCGTTCATTTTTAAATCTCTCCTACGAATGCTCTCTTCAGCTGCCGGCGTTTCTATGTTGTTTTTAGCGGATATTATAATAAAGCGACACTATAAAACGCTCAAGCAGTTTGCTGATCGCATTTTTGATGAGGTTGTTCACCCCATTCGCCACGAATTAATGGCTGCGACCTCTTCCCCTACCATGCACCGAAGCCTCCGACATGTATCTTGCCGTACATCGGCACATCAGCACTTTGTACTGCCCATCCTTACAGGCTACCTCACGTGCAAGGAAACGGAAATCCAGAAGCTGCGATTAGATCTGTCTCCAAAATAGGTGTGGAGGATCTCCGTAAATCTCTAAATTTTGAGTATTTTATTAATTTATCTTTTGGTCTCCGTTTGGATATTCACGTGAGCCCTATTCATTTCACATAGTACCCTTGAACGATTAAAATAATAAAAAATACAATGTGCATGCAGAATATTTATTAAGCGGACAAAATTAATATTAATATGCTTCTAAAATCAGAACGGGATTGTGGCATATTTCGAAAAAAGATGTGATGTTAGTCCTTTTTGGCCAGCGTGCATTATCATTTACAGGAGAACCAGGAGCATTGTTTACTGCAACAGGCCCTGTCGCGGAAGCACGTCTTGCCACGACTGAGACATTTCACACATTTGCCGCTACGATATCCAGTCGACTCGCACAGTAGTCCACGACAACACTTAAAAATTCCTCTGCTACTGCAGAATTGACCTTCCGACAAACAGCTTTTACTGTCTAAGGAGGAAACGTAAATACTTAATACGCAGTTATCTTTAAGGATCAAGACACCTGAAGATCTTAGTCGCAATCGAAATTCTCCATCCGTGAGGTGTTGTTGATTGTTTATTTCACTTGAGGAACTGCAGCTTTCACTTTATGCTATTAGAACACAAGAAAACAGCTTGGAAACATAGACTTCCTCGACGGAATTCTATTCTATTTTTCCTGAAATATGTTTTGGTCGGGCAAGTAAAATCGGAACAGGATTGTGGCAGATTTGAAGAAGATGTGATGTTTGTCATTTTCGGCCAGCGTGCATAATCATTGACAGAATAACCAGGAGCATTGTTTACTGCAACAGGCCCTGCCGCGGAAACACGGCTGGCCACGACTAAGACATTTCACACATTTGCCTTTATGAAATCCAGTCGACTCTCACAGCAGTCCACGACAACATTCATAAATTAGTACGAAATTGCAAAATTGACTACGCAGCTATTTTTAAGGATCAATACACATGAAGGTCTTAGTGGCAATTGAAACCTTTTATCAGCGGACATTTACCGATACCGATACCGACTCCAGCCTACATGTCTTATTTATTGTTTGTTTGACTTCAGGAAGTGCGGTCTTCACTTTAGGCGTGAACGCCAAGAAAGTTACTTGTGCTATCGATGCAGAGGTCTCTGACTTGTGAAAAGGAGCCCTTCAAGAAGTATTTGCAAAGGCAGTTTTTGAGAAAAAGAAACTTTTAAAAGTCTCTGACATTCTGTGAAATCCACGAAAGGTTTCCCTTAGTAACGCTTGCCTGCCTTCAGTACGTTAAGAGAACTGGAATGTAACTTAGGTTTGCGATTTCACTATTCTGGCAGCCGTTCAAGCTCAAGCTAATCAAAATGTCTCCTCAAATGGGCGGCAATTTTGGTAAAATTAGTGAGCCTTTCTAAAAGGAGCAGGATTACAAGCATTCTCTACCGCGGGGACGAAACAGAACACCAACTGCCAAGCCAAAATCCACAAGCAGGGCCAAACAGCGAATGGAGGAAAATCGATCAGCCCAAGGCCAACACCTACAGCCGCAACATAAAACTTGCTGATCGATAAAGTCAATATTCACTTCGAAAAAGGACAGCCGGCCAAGTTGTCCGAAACGTCAGCAAACCTACGAGTTTATTCCGGTGAGCAGAAGATGTATTTTAACTCTTATCTCAGACTTCTGACTTTTTCAAATTTGAAAAGGAAGATTTCCAGGTTAATATGTTAGGAGGACTGACAAGTACCTCGCCGCAATCAGCTACTTCCTCTTAATTAACACACCACCCGGTTAATTTCGTAGCTACTCATAATATGCTTACATGGGCCAAAACGCACAATATCGTTCATGAAACAGGGACGCGTGTTTTCCAGCAGTATTAATCTGCATTTCAGCATATATACTCCTAAAACGCAAAATCCTGCTCTAGGCTAGAACTTCAGTTATCTATTTTCGTTATTTCCGATGCGATCTAAACAAGACACATTTGAGTTGGTAGGCTCCGAGTGGATTTATACTCAACAAAAACTCACCTGTGTTTGAGGGTAAGAGAAGAAGGAGAAGGCTGCAGATAACCACAAAAGCGCCAAACATTTCAAGCCAAACCTAATTTGTTTTTCACCTACACCTATTTATATTAGCTTCATCGGAACTTCGTTTTTATTGGCGAGTTTATTGTGCAAACGAAGGTCGAAAATGCAACCAATGAACATCTGCGGCCAGGTGACGCAAGCGATTGGATTTTAAAACGGTTGTCATTGGTCAGCTGACTTTCAGGTGCACACACACACACTCTTACAAAAAGACCGTGCTGGTACACAGCCAATTCCACCGCCCCAGATGAAGGCGTTGTGAGGTTGTAGTAAATGTGTAGCGCCACTTCCTTCTCCTCCTCACGTTTCTCGTACACAGTTAAACGCTGAACCACGCAGCCGAACAATGTACTGGCATCTAATTGGACTTGTTTAGCGTTCGAACCAACCATGGCCAAATCTACCTCTGTTGAATGACGAATCGAAAAGAATAAGTTAGAAAAATTGAGTAGGCCATGCCCAACACGTACAAACACAACTTTGAATTGCTGATCGATAAAGTCAGTTCACTCTTTGACAAATGACAGCCGGCCCTGATTTCCGAAACGTCAGCGGACAAATAAACACATTCCAG